AGTAAAATTTTATTTTGGGATCATTTTATGGAAAATATCTTCTTTATGCTAGAAGTTTCATAAAAGGTGATTAATCTCTTCTGAATAAGGATGGTCCCATCAGTTAGAACATAATTCTTTGTGGCGTAAGTTTTCCCCAAATCTATCAGACGTATTGCACTTCAGGACAATGTAATTTCTCCACTTCTGAATGAGTTTCTTCCTCTGTGGACATGTAGTTAAAAGACCTTAAATAGAGTGGACAAATCAAGAAGTATGTTATGATGTTTCTTCTACCTGTGTCAAAATATTCTGGCATGCCACACACAAGCTGACATTTACTTTCGAGTGTCTGAGACTTGAAAGAGATCTGGTCTCTTTGGAAATGAGATCTGACCACTCTCACTCAGCACAAGACAAAGGTAAAGTATTCAGTATAGTCTCATCTCCCAAGACTATAAAGAAAGCAAGTTGCCAAATACATATCCCAGCTGTATTTTCCAATCTCCATTCTTCCCCTTGTTCAGCCATCCCATTGGGTTACAGCCAGAGCTGGTATGAAAACCAAGCTCCCCCTGGCAAACACACCAGCGTGTGTTATCTTGTGTTTCAATGTCTGAGCTTGGGTGCCTTTTCCACTCTTCAGTAAGTGGTGCAAGGGATGGAAAATCCAGCAGCAGAACATGCACACTCCCCTTAACCCAGTGATTCTCCAAGTGACATTTGCTGCCTCACATGGACTCAGCATGGGACAGAAGAGAGAGGCAGGCAGGCAGGCAGGCAGGAAGGAAGGAAGGAAGGAAGGAAGGAAGGAAGGAAGGAAGGAAGGAAGGAAGGAACCTGCCTTTCCAATCCAACAACTGCAAGTAAAGTTTTGATACTTTTAGGAATCTCTCAAGCACATTATCCAGAGGGTTTTGAGAATCTGGGAGCTCCCAGCGAAGGTGGTTTTATATTATGTTTAGTGCCACAGGCAACTAGGGATTGTGTTTTGGCCCTCTGAGAACAGGGAGCTAGTTTCCATGTCTAATTGTGCTGCTCCTTGAGGATCTCAGAGCAACTTCACTGCACACAGAATCACTGAGCATTTACAAAGAGGCAAACGAGAGGACTGCTTGTACCTGAAAAATGAGTTTCCATAATCTTCTGGATGATCCATCCATGCTTTATGTAAAGTCTTAAACAGCACACATCCCATCTTTTCCATGAGAAATAAAGCTATTTAATTTAAATTGTAAACTGTTGAAATGTTATTTAACTGTAAACCCCCCCCTTTTTTTTTTCATATAACACTGTGAAAAGAGGCATATAGCAGAAGCCTCACATGACATAGAGTAATGAATCAGTTAGCGAGGATATTTAGGTGGAAGCATTGATTCATGACATGAAAACAGGATCTGGGCTTTTTACAGCACCTCCCTGATGTAATGACACACCTGTCCCTTCCCAGCTCCTTTCAAAGCCGTTCCCACAGCACCACTCTTCCACCTCTTGCTTCTGCAGTTGGTTGTGAACATGGCATAATTTTGCAGAATTCAGGGGAATGGCACCATAGAAGTGGCTGCTGGAAACCCTCTGAAATTTAACTTGGACTCAGGAAGAGTTTGTTCCACATTTCTTCCTTTCCACCGAAGTTTCAACGTGCTAATCCAATGTTTCTCACTTGACTCTGCACTGCTGGAGACACACACTGTGACACAGAGAGATTTTGGCAGTAGAAATTAAAAGCTTCGAAAACACCGCGTCCTTAAACATGTCAATATATACCAGGCACTAAGGATGGAAACCTGTCAAGGAGAAGCATTTCTCTGTGAGAGGAAGGCTGATCCCTCCAAGAGGAAGAGGAAGAAGTGTTATCCCATTCTTCCTCCCACCCCTCTCAAAAAAGTATGTCATGAGCACTCAGCATACTTCAGTCACAGCAAAGCAGCAGGATCCACAGGCCCTTGTCCCTTCCACACCACCCACTATTTCTCCAGACTGGCAGCAAAGGACCTGATCTGGGGTGGCCTGACATGGCTGACAGCATGCAGAGCATTGTTGGAGCTCTTGAGCAGAGCTGAAGAGCATCCAGCAGTATGTAAGGCAAAAGACATTGGATATTTTCTCTGATAATCCACATTAGTGGCAGGTTTCCTACCACACTCCTTAATCTCTATAACTGGTTTTCATTATTTCTCCATGTAGTATCCCATGTCTGTCCTCATCTGTTCATCTAGACACGCAGGAAGCACTGAAGATCTTCCCTTTGTGCCTGATTTTGTCTATATGATGGTATGCCAGAGCTGGCAGCAGCAGATGTTGTAACTATGCTCCAGTGAGGGTACAAAGGCACCAGGGAGGACTTCTCAGGAGGTGGCAGGCAGGGCAAGAGTAGCCACAGCTCCTCTATTGGGAAGGGCAAGGGAGAAGGGAGTCCTGAACCCAGCTTGAGAGGTTTATGAGCAGCACCCTGATGCACACAGTCACCCCCATTTTCCCAGCCACCCCAGAGCATCAAGTGCCACAGCGCTTAAAGCAACAGTTTTACTGGCAAAACTTCCAGCACTGCACCTTAATCTGTGGGCTACAGGTGTAATTTAGATTAAGCAGGAAACTCTTCATGGATTAATGAAATACCAAGTGTTAAATCATGCCTCACCAGCTCTATTTTGATGTGGGTGGTGTGGTCGACACATCGGAGGGAAGGGATGCCATCCAGAGGGACCTTGGCAGGTCTGAGAGATGGGCCTGTGCAAATCTCGTAAAATGCAACAAGGCCAAGGTCCTGCACCTGGATAAAGGCAATTCCAAGCACGAATAGAGGCTGAGCAGGGAATTGGTTGAGACCAACCCTGAGGAGAAGGACTTGAGACTGTCTGTTGACAAGAAGCTCAACATGACCTGGCAGAGAGAACTTGCAGTATCTGCACGGTCAGCAGGGCAAGGGAGAGGATACTGACCCTCTGCTCTGCTCTTGTGAGACCCCAACTGAAGTTCTGCATCCAGCCCTGGGGCCCCCAACATAAGAAGTATGTGACCTGCTGGAGTAAGTCCAAGGGGATATGAAGATGATCAAAAGTCTGGAGCTCCTGTCCTATGAAGACAGGCTGAGCAAGCTGAGATTGTTCAGCCTGGAGAACAGAAGGCTCCAAGGTGACCTTACAGCAGTCTTACAGTACTTAAGGGGAGGCTACAAGAGAGCTGGAGAGTGACTTTTTACAAGAGTGTGTAGAGACAGGACAAGGGGAAATGGCTTTAAACTAAAAGAGGGTAGAGTTAGATTAGATATCAGGAAGAAATTCTTCACTGTGAGGGTAGTGGGACACTGGAAGAGCTTGCCCATAGCTGTGGATGCCCCATCCCTGGAAATGTTCAATACCAACTTGGATGGGGCTTTGAGCAACCTAATCTGGTAGAAGGTGTCCCTGCCCATGACACAGGGCTTGGAACTAGATGATTTTTAAGATCCCTTTTGACCCAAACTATTCTGTGATTCTAAGATTGTATGATATGGACTTACTGCAAACGGTTAAGCATGATGTTTAGCAGATTACTTCCTTATTAGAAAGATTAAAAATGTGCTTGCGAGACTTCATTTTTAAAACATCACCTTTCAGTTTACTAGGTTTCTTGCTGTGCCTAACACAAACAGTGGGTGTTTAAAGTAATAACACAAATAAGGTGCCACTGGGAGCACTCAGTAGCAGGCAGGACCTGCCCCAGGACAGGAGGCAGCCAGTCCAGGGACAGGCTACAGGCCCCTGTCCTGAGTACCACTGCTCCTGCCTTGCTCAGAATCTGCAGGCTGATGAGAATAAACATCAGCATCTCCTTTGAAAACCAAATCTCCCAGTTCCAGCAGGATCAGCCTAATTCTTCCCAAAAATCCTTGGCTGTGCCTTCTCGCTGGCAGTGTTTTGCTGAGGACATGGTGGAATGAGATCCGCCAACTGGTATCAATATGTGGTGGATGTGGGCTACGTAGTCATCGCAGCTCTTGGGGGCCACTGGCACTGGCCTCCATGGGTTAAAGACACACATGATGCTCTGTGCACAAAAACAATCTCTGTCTGCTCTTCAATGAGACATCTGGAAAAATTAGCTGGAGGGAGGCGGGGTTGGCATTGCCACTGCCCGATATCTGCTTTCATAATTCTGGTGTTAGCAGGTCAGAAAAACAAAACAGCAACTTCTCCAAAGAATGGTTTGGATGGGGGAGAAAACCATGCAAATAAGTCTACCTGGAGTCAGAGGAGAGGATCTCAGTGGAAGTGTGCAATTGGATGCCCACCAGTGTAGACAGTAGCAAGCACTAGCTGTGCAGCTGACCTCCCTCTAACAGAGATGGTGAAACAATGGCACATCAGAGGATGGCTTGATATGAATGCTGGGTTTGCGACACAAAGCCCTGATCCAGATTTCCTCCAGGTCTTGGCTCTGAGGCCAGCTTCTCTGGAAATTAACCTCTTCAGAGCTAGACTGTGCCATCTGATCTGGAAGCTGATACCTAAAGGAGGAACAGCCCACGTACCAAGGTGTTTACTAAGATAAGTCTCTTCACTGAATTTTTGGTAAAAGTGCCTTTATCACTTTCAGAAACAGCAATCTCCAGTTTATCCAGCAAGCCCCAAGGAGAAGCCACAGATCCTGTGCTGATCTCACCTTGGCAAAAATTGATTTGAGCCTTCAGCAAGAACTGGCAGTGAAGAGGTTAAGAATTTATGAGCCTAAAAGGCTTCATTTTGAGGGATGGGTTTGGGGCAACCTGAGTTAAGGAAGCGGCCTTAACAATATATGAAAAGGAAGTGATGGTGGTTGGTTTGTTTGTTTATTGTTTTAGCAGTTTGTACTGTGTGTGTCTTATGTACTATCTTCATTCCTCAGTCTCCCAGCCGGTTAATTATCCAGGGGAAGCAACGCTTCCTGCCAGCGACCTCCTGGGTTCCCTCCCATTGTTCCCTGGGCTGATACACAACGCTGGAGACAGCAGAAAGGGCTGCTCATGTCTCAGCCAGTGAGAAACACTCCAGAGACTGTGGTTAGTTAATAAAACAGATGGGTTTATTGGCATCGGCAAATTTCAGGGCTAGTGATGCATTTAATAGGGTTAATCCAAAGAAAATCCCAATAAAAATAAAACAAGGAGTTTAGAGAAAAGGAGATAAACATAGGAGAGACAAGAGAATGATCTGTATCTCCGGTATCTTCATCAACTCTGCTGTATCTTCACAGCCTTCAGGACATAGCAACAGGGTTGTTCAACAATTCTTCCTCAGCTAGGACTTGCTAGAAGAAGAGATCCTTAGCTCTAAAATCCAGGCTCAGGTGGTCTAAATCTCTTCCAATCCCTGCATCCAGTGAGTTCTCTAAGTTCACTTACATAGGACATATAAATGCTCCTCAAAGGTTTCATGCTCTCCCTTCACTTGGTACAGGGGCTTACATGGAAATGAGGATGATTCCTAGCCCCTAATACTGTGAAAACATTTATCCCCAAAGCCTCAGCACCCTGCATGCCCCCAAGATTTCTTTTCTGTACTTCTGCAATGATCAGATGGCAGCACCTTTCAAAAGGAGTGTGTTTCTCTCAAATTCTGTATGAACACTTCAATATTTATTTTTTTTTAAAGAACATTTTGTACAATCCCTAAGTGGGCCCTCAAGTAATGCAAACAATAACAAACAGCAGCAGGCTTGAGTTGAGAGCAGGGATACAGATGTGAATCTCAACTAGAGGAAAGTTTGACGGTGCTTAAATCAAGCATGGGTTCATCTCCCTGGAAAATCTCTTTGATAATTCCAGTTTTTTGAAAGATACCACCCCACTGTAATTTGCCAAGAATAAAAAGATTTTTGCTCACTGACATAATTAAACATAAAGCAATCTCTTTCAAAGGCATATACTGCCAGTTTTATTATGCATATCTTTGTGGAAAGTGGGCTTTGCTCTATGTTACATAGGTTTGTTCATTTTCTCCATGTATTTTTACTTTAGCACTGTCCTACGTAACTCCAATGTTCAAACACATCTTAAAAGCTGCACCATCCTGATGTCATCGGCAGATCAAAATCCACTTGCCTAAAGTCTCAGACGAAAAACAAAAGCCAGATCCTGGGGATCTTTTCAGAGGGAGACGCCATTTCTGTGGATGAGCTGATTTCTCCCCTTCTCAGGAGGATAGGCCAGAGCAGTGCTGTCATTGCTGGAAGTTTTCTTTCATGAGGAAATATTATTTGCACATGCCACATCCAAATGACAACAGTGGCAAAGAGGACTGGCAATTGATCCTGCTTTAAATAGCTGCTTTTCTAATGCAGGGAGGAGCTATTTCCGTAACAAGATGTTCTACTCACTTCTGGCCCTGCAGCACAGCATCTTGATCTTGCTTCGCCTTGCCTTGCCTTCCCTGCCCATCTTCTGTCAACAAACAAGCAAGAAAAGAATTTCAACATGTCAGGAATTTTAGGCTTTTCAAATAGCTCACACACTTGACCTTACAGATGATCAAGACAGAGCTGAGCTGTTGCCCAGATGTAAGGTCATTTGTGATTTTTTGATTCAAAGATTCACAGATGTTTTGAATCAAATAATAGTGCTTAAAATGAAAAAAAAAAATCTCCAAACAGTTCAGAGCCATGTTAAATAATTTAGAGAGTGGTTAGACAAATCCTATGAAAGAGCTCTAAGACTGGATCTTTTAGCTCCCTGATGGGGATACATTTAAATTAAACAGCTGGCAAATAACAAGCCAAAGACCATCATGCCACTGAATAACAAAAGCAGTTAAAGAGCTGGATTGATAAAATGAATAGATATTGACTGCCTGCCATCATTTCCCTCTTCTGTCTTTTGGTGATGAGAAAGAAAAGGCAAAAGAGTAAAAAAAAAAGAAAAAAAAACCAACCCAACAAAAATAATTGAGCAGGGTCCTGGCATTGTTCATCTACTCTTTCCCGATGAAGGTGAAGACACAGGAGGAAGGCAGAAATTATTCATTTCCCCCTCCTCCAGGAGAAAAGGGAAGTAAAACAGTAACAAAGACAGGATAAAAGTCTCTACCTTGGGGAATGCAAAGCTGGCCTGTCAGAGTAAAACCTGCAACAGCAGAGAGAGAGAAGAGGAATTTCTTTTCTCCCCAATTATTTTCCTTTGTTTCTGTTTGTTTGCATTACTCAATATTTTAAATAATTACAAAAAGCTCTGACACCAACTCTCTCAAATATATTGTGGTCACAGAAAAACCTAAAGAGCTGTTTCTCCTGCAAAGCTCAGCTGGAGCAGAAATTAATGTACTGTCACTTTTCAAATATTCCATAGTACGAACTGGAGGGAGAAGCAGCCATTCATTTTCAGAAGGATGAGGGAAAGGAGGGAACTAATTTATGCAGAGTGAATTAAAAGCTGAAAGCACCCTGGATTTAATGGATGACAAAGCTAATCGACAACCACTGTGGATTCAATATTACCTAGATTGACAAAATCCCTAATACTGTTGTTTAAATTTAAGGACTGCGTATCATAACCTGTGCACTTCTAATGACGCACAGGCAGACAGCTGGCAGAGCAATGCATTCCCCACCCTCCTTCAGAGAGGACAGAAGACAGACCACTTCTTGAGGAACATGTTTCAACTATGCACTGTAAAACAAATTCTCCTGGTAAAATCAGCAGGAGCTGTGCATGATTAAGAACACTGGATCAGCCTCCACATATGAGAAGTTTCCTGCTGCTGCTGCAAAGGCAAAGAGTAGGTGATGCTCAATAGCCAGGAAGAACTCCATCCTCATAGCTGTATAGAAGCTACCCAATGATGCTGAGTGCAGGGTCTCATGCTTAGGACACCAGCTGCTTCCTGGTGACTGCAGTTAATTTTGGCAGTGGGGCAGAAGCTCGGTGCTGATACAATTTGAAGCAGGATACAGATTATAAACATTGTTTCCCTGAGATCATGCTGTGCGCTGCTCAAATTTGTTTTCAAAGGCAGCTCAAATTAACCCTGCACCTCCCCCGAGGTTAGATCCAGCCATATTTAAGACAACAAACAGCCTTTGGAGTGGAGACCAGTCTCCTCTCCCTTCCTCCAAGACTTTCCTTAACAATACAACTGCACCGGGGCTTTTCCCAGGCCAAAGTGCAATAACTGCGCTTTTATAGTGCCCACTGGCAGTGTACATGTGCTGCCCAGGACAGAGCCCAGTTAATTAAGAAATTCTCTTGTAGTGCCTGTTGCACCAGGTAAGTAGCTAGCAAATAAAGAAAAGCAATGACCATTCAACCCCTGTCAGCTCGCGTGCTCCCAGCTTTGATTGCTTTGGGGCGAGGAAGGTGGCATATCAGATCACTGCCAATGGCAGGTCTAAGTTACTTGCAGACAGAAAGCTGCACTGGTTCTCCTTCAACAACAAGTAGAGACACAAGCACCAGTGGAAGCAGCCACAGCTTGTCTCCCTCAGTGGTGTCCCCAGCTATGCTCCTTTGTAGGGTCTCTAGCCAAGGGTGAACTTGCAGCCCAGCCTCCTCCAGGGCTGCATTCAGACAACTTTCGTGACAAGATCAATCTCAAGACTAGAGGATTCAAGCCACGGACTTCAGCAAGAAGCAGAGAGGCCAGAAAACCTCAGCACCATTCAGTGTTTCGTTAGAGGCTGTCCTTTTGGTGGCACTTTACTTTAGAAAATTGCACTCAGGTTACAGACAGCAAAACTGAGGCATGCCTTTTTGAAAAGACTTGTCAAACATCAATCACAATCAAAAATAAAACCACTGCAAGCAGGCTGCTGCTCTGGCCATGAGGCACAATTTACCAGCGGGGTGAAGTTCTCCCTAGCTAGCCATCAGACCATGAAATGTGATGACGATGGCATAGGGCACTGGTGCACAGGGACAGTCCGTGGGAAGGCTTCTGCCTGCACAACCTCCCTCCTCTGCCCAGATGAGCCATGTGGCCTGTGTGAGCACTGAAACAATTGTTTTTACAGTGCCAGAGTTAGTTATGTCTGAAAGGCTGCCCACAAGCACAGTGAGCAGTGTCATTAGGCTGCTGGCTGGGCACTGGAAGATGGATGTGTTGTTCACTTTGGTGCAGGCATTTAACAGCGCAGCTATTTGGTTACATGAATTTACAAGCTCAGCTGCCGAATAGAGGAGACCACAGGTTAACAGCAAGGGGTGAAGGTGCTTGTAAAGGTGCAAGCTGAGCCCTGAACCAAGGTGATTACAGCTCACTGGGAGCTCTTGAAACCCATTAGTGCCAGAGCAAGGAGCTGTCGAGAGCCACAGATGAGAAGCCAAGTTTGCAAGCTCAGGGGTGACCAGCCACGTACAGGGAAGGGAATTTTCTTTGCTCTCACATAGTATCTCCCTCTTCTCTCTCCCTCACCAGACAGCCACCTGCAAACCAACCCCAAGCCTCCTCTAGCAAAGACAAGGGACTTCCAGACCATCCTGCCCTTGAAAACCACACTCCTACATCCACCCCTGCACATCCCCAGATTTGTGGGCAGCATGCCCACACTTGTCAGCTCCTCTCAAGAGCCACCAGAAGGTACTCCTGATCCCTGACTTGGATTAAGCCCTTAGGCACGCAGATCTATTGTACACTTTGGAAAGCAACAGAAAATAATTTTCCCTAATAGGCATCTTATTTCCCCATGCTGTCCTCTCCCCCAGAATAAATAAAGGTACTTCAAGGTGTCAGACAAGTCATCACACTTAAAATTCTCCCTTTGGCAAGTCTAGCCACTAATTCAGTCTTGTTATAGTTTTCCCAGTAGGGACAAAATGTATACTGAGCTTTGAAAACCCATTGTGTAGCAGCAATTGTTGCTGTAAGCCAGTGGCTCTTTTGCTTTGTTCAGCACCGTGTGCTTGTGTCTCCTGTGAGATATTGTTTTGTTAAGGCCTGCTATTGATTAAAAGGGAGAGGAATTGAATTCCAAATGGGAGCAGCTGAAATGTTCTAAAATGCTACATAAAAAATGTGAGCATTCAAAATAATCTTAAAGACAGGTAGCTTTCCTAAACCAGATTCATTTTTCTCTCAGTTTTTGCTTATCACAGCACCTCACCTCAGGGCTGACTTGCAGTTCAGGCCCAGGGTAAGGGCTGCATCCCCATCCATATCTTTGGGGCTGATGAATGCTGTAGAGCAATCTGGGGAGGCTGCTCCTGAGGTGACATCAAGCTCCAAGGCACTCTAGAGAGAGCAGCCATGGGCATTTTTCCTCTGGCCTTATGCAGCACCACAACTTCCAGTGCGAATACAGGAATAAGTAAATAGACATAAAGGTACCCCAGGCTCCTTCAGGTTCATCTTCCACCTAATACAAAAGGATTGATTATTCCCTGGTTGAGCATCAAATAGTCTATCTTTATCTACAACATAGGATTTTTTACCTCTGTAACTACACCAGAGTAACAGGATAGGGGATGCTCTTATATAGCAGAGCAGCAAGCTCTACTGTCCCAGAGCAGGGGCTGAGCTCACCTGGCTACAGCTTCCCTGTAAGAAGTGGACAGGAAGGGTAGAAGTCCCACAGGTCCCCAAGTCAGACCTGCTTTTATGCATCACCATCACACATAATGGCCCGCTACTCATGCTCAAGCCCCAGACAATTGCCCTTACACATCCTTGCCCCTCTTTGTGGCTCCAGATGGACTCTGAGCTGCATAACTGGCAGGGTCATGGCAGTTTCACAGTCTCATGTTCTTCACACTTGACTATGTGTATTGTTTTGGTCCTGTTGTGCTGAAATGTGAAGGAATGAGGAGACTCCATGACACAGCTTTTCCTCTGTCTGGGCAAAACTGCATTTCATTGACCTTTGAAGTAATCTGGGGGGAGGGGGGAGCTGAAGAGAGACAGGTTAGATTTGTCAATCTTCTTCAACCAGTTTCAGCATTTGCACTAGAAAAATAATTGCAGGGTTGCAACATCCTTAGTTTGACCTGCTAGGAGTAGTGGATCTACCACCTTGGAAAACCTGGTGTCACTTGACCAGAGGGCCATACATGACCACACTGTAGGAACTAGCCAAAGAGATTTTGCTTTGTACAATTCCTTTAGGGTCCTCTGGCCATCCCAAAATAAATAGGAAATAAAACAGAAGTGTAGAACCCATATATCTGTTTTGTTGTAGGTTTTAGTAGAAAACAGAGGTTTTTTTTAAATGGGACATGCCACATGTTGCTGGCAGTCTTCAAACGCTTACAGTCTACTTGTGCCACTGTGCTGAAGGCAACTTACCCAAAGACACAGTGGCAGAGGCAGACAGGAGAAACCAGGTCCCTCTTTCCACTTTCTGATGGTGAATGACCACAAACAAATGCAACTGAAAAGCACAAGGGACCACAGCTTGCCTCTCCATCACTGATTCTTATCCACTTTCCCTTAGAGACAGTTAGCCTTTTTCTTCAAG